GGACCAATAATATTGCAGATTCTTATCAAAAATCTCTAAATACATAGCAGAAGCACCAGATCAGATATGGTAGCAATATTCAAAACGTAGACAAATTGTCTAACATGACACAGTGAACCAACTTTTTCTAGCATCAGACCTAGCAATTGATTCAATATAATCTTTTCACTTCATGTCATCAGAAAATGTCAGCCCAAGAAGGCAGAGAGTTACTCTTTTGGGGGTTAGCATCAACCATGCTGATAGCAAACAAAAAAGATTCTCAAAGACAAAAGAGAGTAGCTTCATTTTGGGGGCATTAAAATTAACAAGCCATTTCTTACTCCAGTTAACAGATTGTAGATTATTTTTTAGATCAGCTGCCAATGTGACCTTATTGAACAGATCAGACTTACCAATTAAGACAAGAGTAAATAGTTATCAACATAGCTACCAAGTGAGACCTGGTGACATTGAGAAGGTCATTGATAAAAATTAAAAACAACATTGGTCCAAGAATACAGCCCTGAGGATTGCATTAATGCAAAAAGATCTAGAAGAATGGTCATTCAAGACTGCTTTCATTTTAAACAGAAAAAGAAAGATTAATCAGATGAAAAATTCATTCAGAAATACCATAAACTTTCAACTTGTGAAGAAGACTGATATGTCAAACCCTGTCAAATGCCTTCGAGATACCAAACGCAACAGCCTTAGCTTCACTATTCTTATATAAAGCTGGACTTTTTCAGTAATAAACATTAACCTTTAGAACTCTGCATTATTAATATTACTTCTTTTTCCACTGCATCCTTTTTCAAGGCCTCTCAATTGCAGTATTCTTATTGTTAATTTCACTCTAAGTTGTTTTCTATTTCCATAGCAGGATATGACAGCACAACTATGAAATTTAAACACTCTGAAGGTGACTGATCCCTGAACAACAGTGTCAGGATAAACTTTTGTATAGTAAATGAAGTCACATACAGAGTGATAAAGGTTAACACATCAGCAGTTGACTTAGAGAAACAAAAGCCATATTGCTTGTCTGAAAGAAAACCCTGCTTAACCAATACAGAATTGGTACTCTGGTACTTTACCAAAAAGAGCTAGAAGGCTAATAAGCTGATAGAAGAATCAGATGTTTTGCCAGAGTTCTTAAAGGCTAAAATTACAGAAGAGGATTTCCAACAAGCAGGAAAACAAGAAGCAAGGCATTTATTGGAGAGTTTGGAGAGAACAGAAGCACATTTCTTAAGGACTATTGCAGAGATACCATCAAGTCCACATGCTTTGTGGGAATCCAGTTTAGGGATAATAGCAGGACAGTCTCACTCATTAGAGAGACTGTTCTAAATGATGCTTCTTATTTTTCACTTTAATATATGAAAATTTAATTCATTGGTTTTTTACCCCAATCTTTGATATTTTTTTTTTTTTTTTTTATATGCTACAAAGCTTTTTCTTTTATTTTCCATTGTTATGTTTTCATTCCAATTGCAGGTGATGATTTATGGTGGTGCCAGAGTCACTGATGAACTGTGCCAAATGAACAAATGGGGTCGATGTTCTTTGCCTCTTCGAGCTTTGGAACTTGGCCTCAAATACAGGCAGCTGGACACAATTAGCGTCTTCTTACGGACAAGACAAAATAGTGAGTAGTATGACCTTATTCAATGTCTGCAATGCTTAACAAAATACCTACATTTTAAACTGACAGTTGTTATCAGTGATAACTAGACATCATGGAAAGCTTTTAATGTCATTGTATGATATTCTATCATGAAAAAATTATTTTGAGCAGCTTAAAAATTATTTCATAGTTGCATTTTGTAAAATCCTAAAAAATGTATTTTGTGGAAGGTGTTCAGTTTTCTAGATCGTATTAGGAGTATCAGCATTACACCTTATATTATGTACAGATAAAATTAAACTAAATGCAGGTTTGTTTTCATTGAGCAAAGATATACCTGATGACTTTGTAGTTTCATAGTTGAGTACGGATAAGTAACTTGTGTAATAATAGATTTACCTGTTGTCGGGTTCATATTCCACCTTGATCTTTTGAACAGGAGTAGAGACTTATCACTTATTTCTTGTTTAGTACTGGGTTTCCAGTTCATTCTAAAGTTTGCTTCAACTTTATACTCCTAACGCTTGTCTTTACTTACACTAATACAATTCCACACAGTAACCCTCTGCCTTGAGTGGCTCTTGGGCTTTGTATTAGGTGAACATTAGTTAAAAAAGAATGTTTCTATGTATATTATATATATATATATATGAGGAGATGCTGAAATGTTTTCAGCCCAATCCACTTCCTATAATCTGACCAAATGATCAAACACAGTTTTTTTTTT